CGAAAAATCTAGTAGGTGGCGAAGTATTGACATCGTGTCTCGCGACGACGCGGGCACCATTCATACGGCTCCTGTGTGCTGCTGAAGGTGACTCGTCGCCACTTTCGCTCGCATCGTCACTTACTTCGCTATCACTCGCATCTTGCTCAACTTCCATATAGTGAATACAGCTTGTGGCATCCTTGTCTCCCGAATTTGAATACACAAACGCCAGTTTCTCGACTCGCTCGGGTTTTAACCGGTTCCGTCGTTTGCTGTGAATAAAAGAGTGAACACTCCAGGAGCGTTCGCTTGCTGCAGAGGACGTCGGAATGCTAAGCACACGGGTAGCAAGCGTGTACAATACGAAGAGCTTCTTCCGGTAAAGAAGCCACCAATCCAAAGGCGCATCCACAGCATTTTCGGCGTGCTCCTCAGGACTCCAACTCTCCTTCATCCGTACAAATCGTAGAACCGCCTGCCGAAACGCCTGAGCACTCACACCCGAAGGTAATCCGACACGCAAAGCGAGTGCGACACATGCCTTAACGGCCTTGATTAAGTCTGAATCCTCAAATTCAGCTATATGCTTCGACGGATCCAACAAAAACGCTGCCAAAACCGACTCCCGCTGTAGCATTCTCCATCGAGACCGAATTTGTCCGCGAGAACGCCTTCAGCTACGTCATCTGTCGTCATGGACCATGACTCATGGCGTAGATGCTGTTGTATTGCAAGCCGCGAAAATAATGATAAACCATAGATAGACAGCAACCATCCTTCTCGAGAGCCCCTAGAGCCTTAGTTTCTGGTTCAACCAGTCGTAATACGGTACGAGCTCTAGTCCAAAAGTGGCTGTCCGCCAGTATTTCCTGTACATGTTGTAGCTTCGCTGCAGCATTTCCGTAGCGATCCAGGAGACTGTCGTTTCGAAAGACAGCACGTAGCACTTCTTCATTCTTCACGACACTAGAGATGCAATTGGTACTAGAGTACCAGCGTGTGGAAACAGGAAGTATCAATGATCGTCGATGCTGGCGCGAGCCGATTCTCTGTCGCTGCTTCGACCTAAAGTAATAGAGAAGTGCTGGTCGTTTCCGGACAAATTTGGTAATGGCAACCGCTTTGTTGAGGACGTCTCTCATGAACTCAATACCGAACATATCCTTCAGCAGCAAGTTGAGCGTGTGAGCCGAGCATCCATTGCACGTCAGAGATGGAATTCTTTTCACGAGTATTTCCCATGACTTACGCATGTTGGCAGCATTATCCGTGACGACCGCAGCGACAGCCCCCTTTCCAACTATTTCTTCGACTTCTTTGATTACTTTTGCCAATGCAGATGCCATATACATCCCGGTGTGCCGGTCTTCGCCCCTTCGAATGGAGCACCAAAATATTGGACGCATAAACGGCGATGTGATCATGAAATTGATGATGCTCTCGCTATTTGGGTCCGACCAACCGTCGGTAACCACAGTAACGTATGTTTGACTTCGTAGCACCAGCTCGACATTGGCTCGTTCTTCGCGATAAGCATCATCCAGTAGCGCGCTAGCGAGATCCTGACGCGATGGTAGCGGCATCCCGGGGCAATACTTTGTCAAAATATGCCGCATCTTCGGGTTTTCGACCACACGGAAGGGAATTGCAGACGAATAAAAGGCAGAGGCGACCTCGTGATGAAAAGCCCTGATCTCACTCTTCGTGTAGAGTCGAGGTACTACCGCTCGCGTTTCTTCGCCTTCACTTCGAGCTCGCTTGTGTTGACGGGTTTCACTCTCGCCATCTCGGGATCGCTTGGCTGGAGTTGGCGGATATCGGGAACGAACGTTGTTAGGAGCCTTATGGCAGCGACGAATGTGAGGGCGAAGATTCTTTTTCGGTTGGGCATGACGAATAGTTTTCGCGCAGTATTTACACTGGACGTCAGGATGTTGTTTCTTCGGTGTCGACCACCTTGGAACAACCACATCAAACTCGCTCCAAACACTATCCTGTGGACGTCCTTGTTCACTGATTCGGGGCAGAGTACTGGCGTCATTAGGCTCTCTTGCGTCTGTGTCGTTGTCCCGCACGGGGATCGAGCCACTGGCCTTTGGCTTGACAGGCCGGAGCTCTACCATTGAGCTACAAGGGCGATGCCCGTACGTCAGTCCGAGAACGGACTACTCATGGTATGAGAGGGCTGTGCCCTGGCGGGTTCGAACCACCGACCTGTGGCTTCCAAAGCCAACGCTCGACCACTGAGCTAAAAGCGGATTGCTCTTAAGCTTGTCCAAGCGTGAACAATCGTTCATGGAACGAGAGGGCTGTGCCCTAGTGGGTTTGAACCACCGACCTATCGCTTGTGAAGCGAGTGTC